TCAGAAAGAAGAAGTACATAGTATCTCCAGTATACACATGGGAAAATGAGTCACAGAAAGGTTAAGAAATCTATCAAAGACTACCCAGGAAATAGTCAATGACTGAATCAGAAATAAGACACAAGTCTGGCGGCACTTCAAGCAGGCAAAAGCTAGCACTGCCTGAAAAAAACAGTTCTTCACTTGGGAAGATACAGCAGGTTAAAAACTGTGCCTATTTCTAGCAGGCCAGTTCCCCAAAACCGTTCAACGCATAGCCACACAAATGTTTACACCAGCAGAAGGGAAGGAGTCAAAAGGCCAGGAGGACGGCGGAGTCACCTACTCGCTGTTTGCTGGAATACCCCGTCTCCTACTCTTACATTCACCTTCACAGATAAAAGGCCAGTCTCATGGGTAGACTCAATTTTTCTTGACATATGTGAAACAAGCTAACACTTTTGCATCTAGAGTAATTTTCCTGCCATCTTGAAGTACTTAACCAACATTTGCTAATTAAATTTCACATCCTTTTGGGAATTTTCCTCATCTTGTTTTTGAGCAAACTAAGTGTGATATAGAGAGTGCAAAGAATTAGATTACAGTCATATAAGGCTTAAACAGAGTTGAGGGATTTTGTTTTTAAATCTGCAGCCTTAGTAAATTGAGCTCTGATGTAACTAACCTATGGCAGAACAAGGAAGGCTCTGCCTTACCCAGGGTGACTACAATGAATCACAAAATTAATTCAGGGATATTTATTCAAAGTTTACTCTGGCGAGAAAATGAAGAGTAAAGAAACTGTTTCAGCAGTGGTAAGAAAGGCTTTATCCAAAGCATGATAACAACACTTGTGAATAATTCTTTCTGTGATTTCACTTTATAAAAAGGTAATGAAGCAATCTTATGGAAAAAACCAAAACAAAACAGGCCATATTTAAGGACCAACCTATTAAACCACAGTAACTAGATTTCATGAATTACAGACCTGTGTCTGTACCTTCAAGACACAATGCTCCAACTCACATACAATAACACAAAAATTACAAGTTGAGACTCACATAAGTGAAACCCTTCAAGTATATTGCTTGATTTGCAAAACAAATCTTCCTAGAAGTATTTTTATTTTGTCAGATAATCATAAATTTGTTCAAACACTCAAGCAAAAACATCAGATTTCCATCCTGGGGCTATACCACACATAAGAAAATACTAGTGTACATTTCTGACAGATTTCTAAAAATAGTTTAATGGGTCCAACCTCCATATAAACAGTTATTTATTCAAACTAATAGACATGGTAAAAGGCTAAGTATTATTTACCATCTAAAAGTCCAATGCTCAGAACATCAATGGTACCGTTACAAGCTAGGACTGACTTAACCAGTCTAAGAGTCTTAACTAAAAAAGCACTAGACACTTCCAGAGCAATTAGTAGTCCTTCAGTCACTGCCTCAATGTCCAGTTATCAGCAATGTCATATGGCAGTTATTCAGAAAAAACAACAGTGAAAAAATTTAGTGATAAAGAAAAGAAGTTTGGGTTCAGACTGATCTATGTTAATCCTTCAAGTCTGATTACACAAAGTTCTGGGAAGTACTGTGGAATGGGATAGGATAGCAAGTAAGAAAATTAGCTACAGGATCATTAGATAGGACAATCCTAGAAGATACAGGGTTTTCATTCAAGAACCTACTAGAAGGTTGATGCCTGAACAGACTTAAGATAATTTTGTCCTTTAAAACAAGAATTGAAGGAAGTGTATTCCAGCTACAATATCCAAGCTTACAGGTCTGCCTGTAAATAAGAAAATCTGTTGGGCATATCCCCCAAAAGATGAAAGATTCTTTGCATGCTACCAGCAAAAAGTGTTAATAGGTCGACACTGAAATTAAAGACAAATTAAGTAATGGCTATTTAAACACATTCCAGCATACTGTGCTTCCCATTTTTGCAGAACAGACACATCATCCTCAAAGCTCAGGACCTCTTCCACAGTTTCTTTAATTTTTTTCCACTCAGTTTTATGTTGCAGAATACTCTTGTGGAGAAGCTTGTAGCGGAAGCATATGGGCATATGCTATTAGAATGAATAGAAACAATGAACATATTTTCTCCAAGTTGAAAACAACTAACTGCTGAATTTTCCATGACAATCCTGCATGTGCAAATACCTTTCTTCTTCTGTGACAGACATTTAAAATATACTGTAAATTGCCAAGAACTTTAATCTCACGTAGTTGCACTCCCTCTACTCACGAGGTTACTGATGTAAAAATTGCTATTTCTATCCCTGTGTGAAATACAGTAAAAAAAAATTAACATCTATAAGGCTATGGTTTACTAGTAACACTAAAGAACATTCCCTCCATTAATTATTAACATCATATGAATCAAGCCATAAGTACAGCAATGGGGGTATTTGAGAAAAGGTGCTAAGAAAAGCCCAAATGTCCGAATCTGACCCTTCTCACACCTTGAAATTCCCATTAGCATACAATATTATTATATTTCTCAATGTCCAAAGCATGAACTCACAATTATGCTATACAGCGTCTGACTCATATTCTGCATGACATGGAAGCATGGTATACTTTAATTTAGCCAATTACAGAAGTGACAGAAGTCAAGGAACATTACAGCAGTCAATTCAAGATGTCAAGTTTACTCTGTGCAAGCACGACTTTTCCATCTGCATCAGGATAGCTAAAAAATTAAAATAAGATTTTATACTTCAAATTCTAATAGAAAAAGATATTCCATTAAGAGACTACCAACTCCTTAAAGTACCTAAGTAATAGCTTTTGGAACATTAAATATTAAATAAGTATTAGAAGCGTACTTTAAAATTGGTTTTGTTGCCATCCCAAAAGGTTAATATTGGTTCCACACTTGCATATGCAATTTACAACCAAACTGTTGCCAAATCTCAGGATCACATTGTTATACTTCATCTTTAAATAACGGTTTCTCTCTCTCCTGCTAGGTAACTACAAATACAAATAGAATTTATGCTCTACCAAAATGGGGTTGATCAAATTCAGCTGACTAGATACTCTTCTCCAGGAAATTCTATTTTAATCTCTCCTGTAATTTATGAGCTTAAAGAAAAGTTGTTAATACATGATATCGAGACCCAGGCTATTCACAACTTTGCCATATTAAATGGGGGATCATAAGGGCAAAAACTAAGACTGTCTTAACATCTTAGGAAGTTTCTAATCAGCTCCCCACTTGCCTCACAAATAAAATGGGTGCTGAGTGCATACATTTCAAATAAGAGTACATATTTCCAGCATCCATTCACCAGTTAACATGCTAACGCACTGGGGTACAGAGAATCCCCGAGGGAGGAAACCTCCTCTTCTGAATTTTGTCAATACATAGCACTTCACTGATTGTGAAGGAGCCTGTCCAGCTCTCTTCTGCCAAGGAGGGTCACAATAACACCAAAACTATCCAGAAGAGCAGGAGGAAGTCCTTCATTCAGAAATGGAAATGAAGGACGTAGACATTTCCTTGACTAAAAGTACCACAGAGCAATGATTTAAAACAAAGAAGGGTACAAAACTTACAAGGTTTTTTGGTTTTAAAAGTATATCATAGAAAAGTAGACAGCTTGTATTCTAAAGACACTTAAAACATATTTTGGTTTTCCTAGCAATGCCAGATTCTCGTTCCTGGTTGTCCCAAAACAGCAAATAGCATGCAGTTAATGTACACCACAGAAAATTTTCATGAGCCAAAGACCAGAAACAAAAGCTACAGAACTGAATATCCAAAGCAAACCCTACAAAGTCCAAACAGTGCACAGATAACGTCTCTCATTCACAAGGCGAGACACCTTTTTTCCCCCCTGAGATAACTGCAGCAGTTCCCAAACCCCAGACATCTACCTACCTTATCCCTTTTGACCCCATCCCTGCCACAGGGGTAATTCAACTGGCTATGAAACATCAACTGAAGCATTCAAACTTCACCCACAAAACTATAAGGTGAAACAGAAACCAACCCAAACATCCTCCAATGAACCAGTTTGTAGCATGCAAAAGGTTCAAGAGATGCTACGCAAACAGTAGTGATAAGAACTATGACAACCTTCCTCAGCAAGTCACCGAGGTTTACTCAAATTCACCTATTTCCTCCCATTTCACCTACGGTTTAGAAATAACCATGATGATCTCAAACTTCATGTATATCATACAATATGCATAAAATATTCTTTCAAAACGTCTATTTTTGCTCTTCTGTCTTGCACTGAAAGCATAGGCACTTTAAAAACAGCTACTGCACATTAATTTATTCCCCCACTGTTAATCCCTCTGCAGGTAAAACGGCTTTTGACATCATCTAATGTGCAAGAAATTATGTGGTCACAGTTTTAAGTTTCCAGCCTCTCCTTGTAGTTCATTCATTATCAAAAGAGTTATCTGTAGTGGCAGCTTTTAAAGCAGCTTTGGTTTGGAAAAGGAAATATAACTTGACTAATCCATATTGACTAAACCCACAGCTCCCCAAACTACAATGTATTGTAAGAGAAACCACATACTATAAAGAGGGGTTCAGGACGAACTAAGTATCAGCCTCATCACTCTCCTCAGTTGTCTGGGTTCAGATAAAATCAAGTTTAGATTTTAGCTAAAAATGCCATAAGGTTAAAATAATTTCTTTTTTTTTACTGTACATAAGAGCAATGCCTAGGTCTATTCAGATACTACACAGGAAATGCACAAACACAGTTTATTGTTACTATGTTCATGATTAAGTTTGAGATGTTCTACTTCACAGGGAATGCAACAATATATAATATACCTCCAATTGAGACTCACACCACAGCCTTTAAGTCACAGAAAAAGGCAAAGAATGGAAGACATCTTGAACTATGAATGGTATGAGTAAAACTTTGTAAAAAAAAAAACAAACCAAACCAAAAAAAAAAACCAACATAGAAGTTCAAGATTCTACATATACGTAAGTCTCATCTTTGAGACCACAGTGAAACATCAGCACCTACAGAAATAATGGCTATAATAGAGCAGGTAAGTGACCACGTTTATTAAGAAAGGTTTTGGGAATAACTTTCCAAGAAAGCTAAACCATGAAATCACACTGATTATATGGGAGAATTCCCACCTTTCAGACACCTCTTCTCTGTCAACACAGCATTTCATGTAGCATAAAAACAGAAATAAGAGTTGAAGAATATGAACCAGAGACAAAACTCTACAGTGGATAACCAAGTATATACAACTTTTTTATTATTTAAACTAATTCCTCCTTTTTTTTTTTTTTTCCCAAAACTACTATTAATGAGGTGAAGAGTACAGCTAAACTGTAATAATATACCTATCTAGCTTGATGAACAGCACTTGAACTTGTAATGAACTTACATGGGTTTAACTTTCTAACACTGACAAACAGGACAGGAGTCAGTGGGTTTCCTAGTAGATGTATATTCACATTTGTTAGACATCTTCCTCAAAACATGAATGTATCTTAATCCTTTTAGGAGAACATCCGCTTTTCAAAGCAGCCCCAGCTTCTGCCCAGGAACCGCACCAGTAATGGCCCAGCAGAAATTTTGCGTGGATCATGTGGCCTGTGCCCTGCAGCCAGGGAATGCTACTGCGGCTGCTTTCAACCCTCAGTGGGACAAGTGTGCCTCTGACTTCATGAGGACTACAAAGAGAATTACCAAAATGCACTTTCCCTGCAGCACAGCATAAGGCTCAACTGAATGTATGGGATGAGAGGAGTTATTAAAAGAGACATCATACTAGTTTAGGTATATTTTATGCTTTACCTCACCCTTTTTCATTTATAGGTGTTCCTTCCCTCGCCATCTTTGTGAATGTATTTTCATTTTCAGTTTTACCCAAGACTAGTCACTCGGCATGCACAGAGTTTTTAAGTCCTGGTCAACAGTTTGCCCAGGTAAACTGTCTGCATAAAAATTTCATTTCTGATTTTTTTTACTGCTGAGAGCTATGCATGATAGGATTTTTCAGAGATGGCTGATACATCTTTGTATCAATACGGTATCTTAATTTTGCAATGCCCTTTGTAATCAGAAGCAGGTGAAGTCACTGACTTCAAAACCACACAGACCAACAGCCTCCTTAAGCCTGAAGAAAAAAACTGCGTATCAAATCAGTCTGGGAGTGGCAACATTACATGAGTGGTTTAGACGCAAAGCTATTCAAGGACATAGAAATCTCTCTTAGGAGGAAACATAGCTCCAAGGTAAGATTGAGCTTTCTGCATCCACACCAACTCACTAAACTTAAGCCCCAGTAGGCCCAGACTGTGGCAGTCATTTAACAGAGGGTGGATAAACACTGAACTAGCATGGAAGCGGAAGGGAACATCACAAAACATCATTACTAGATGGAGAATCATTGAAGGAGAGAGAAACTAAAATGGAAGATATATTCAGCATGTTTCTGGCTATTTGCATAATTTAGAAACAGCACAAAGCAAGTATTTACAGACAGCAGTCCTGCATAGGTCAGAATTTTTATCTGGAACATTTACAATAGAGAGACAAGGTAACACGTTCAGTTAATAGATTTTCATCTGAAACACTGATTCAGATTTGACTAAAGAACATAAATGACTTGAAGAGTTCAAGACTGGCATCCAGGAAACGTTTGTTTGCATTATGAAACCACTGTCTGGTTACTAGTCTGTTCTCAAGATTGTACTGTGTTGCAGTGCACCTGCATGAGGCACAGATCCCTTCCAGCTTAAACAATTGTTAAAATCTTAAATTTAAGTAGCTATGCACGTTAGAACTCCAAATGGTATTTTTGATCATGCAAGAAAACCTTCATTAAAACCATTTTCTAGGCAAGCATAAAAGAAGAGGAATAAAACATTTCACCAAGACTTTGGCTGAGAGCTTTGATAGATTAAGTTAAATGTCAATATTAAGAACATAATACTGAAAAGCAGAAAGTATTTTTCTCTAATACAGAAGGCTTTCAGTTACTTTCATGCATTTAACAGTAGTTGAAGCAGAGTCAGCTTCCCTTCCCTGTGAGCATCTCTCACTCATGCTGTAACTGAAAAATGAAATAACTTAGAAGATGCAGTTAGAGAACCACAAGACCTGTGGAAGGGGACTAGAGAGGAGAAATTGAAAGGAAGCTTTAGAGCCTGTCCTACTTTTACCACAGTTTTTGAGAGAGTTTTCTAGATCCCTTTACATCACAATGAAAAATATGTATGCCCAGAAAGAACAACTAAAATGAGTGGTTGCAGGACATACAGTGTATTTAAAATAAATCAGCAGCAGCACAGTGTAGAAAAGTGAATATACTCTAATTTTGTGCATGTAATTTCCATCTGGAGAGCTACTTTCAATTGATTTGTACAATAACTAACAAGCTAGCGAGAAGTAACACTTGTGGAAGCAAAGACTTGTTATATTGTCTCCATGCATTAAAAAAAATGCACATTATGACTCTTAGAAAGAAGATTCCAAAATGCTGCTCTTTCCCATGTTTCACTAACAAGTTTAGGTATTTCAGTGACCCATATCAAACAGTATATTTCAGATAGGCAAATTATAGAGCACATAAAGCACAACAGAACTTTTTTCCTTAGCAGCCTACACTATATCACATAGAAAAGCAATGTCAAGAAAAAATTAACCATGCTTTCGCAAAAAAGGTCACTGAAGTTGGCTTGTTTCCTCTGAACTTTTGAATCCTTGGGAAAAGCACGAAGGTCTTTCATCCCCCAACACAAGACACCAGATTTCAGCTAACTAGAAATCCACTTCAAATATTACATACTTCCTTTCCAAATGTCAAGGTTGTTTAGTTAATCAGGAATAACAACATTCTGCAGAATAAAATTCCAGTGCAAAATTGCAACAGATCTACACGGTCCTTATGTGCAGTGACACAACACTATGTGTCCGCTTATTCAGGCACTTAAGCTGTGCCCATGGCCACTCTACCTACCACAACAGTAATGTTTTTATAATAGCACCGTTTCCCCCTCCCCCCTCAAATTATATTGCCTAGGATAAAAATCCCTATCTGAGCTCTAGAAATTCCTAACTATAGTGCTATACCTAAAAATACTGCATAATACAAGAATGCTGCCACAAAACCAAGTATCTAGAACTACACATCTCCTTCTCATTGTAATAAGTTGTCCTGTTTTTTTTTTTTTTCTTAGGTTACACCAATATTTACAGTCATGAAAAGGTAATAATACACTTGTTAAGACCGCATCTGTGAAACAAGAAGAAACAGGTTTTGGACAACAATAGATTGTTCAGACTACCTACTTACTTAACTGAGCCTGTCTAACGCTAACAGTACATGCGTCCATCTAAAATCTTGTCTAACTGCAACCGACTTGATACCCACAGGTTTTTTTTTAAAGTGCAGGAAAATCAGTAAGTACAAAGTTCTTTACCATCAAGCCAGAATAATTCTAGAAAAAGCCACTTCCATTGTGCCCTCCAGCAGCCCAGAGATGACAGAAGCTGGGGATGTTTACAGGTCCTATATGAATAATTCAGCGTCAGCATCAGCAACAACTCCCCACCACTGACAACCTCAACGTGGGGCTGGAGCAGGCGGCCGCGGTGCAGCTCCAGCACGCGAGCTCTGGTAGCAGGACAGCTTCAGGAACTAACGCACTCCTGGCCGAGCGTCCAAGTGGCCGATTTTGAAGAACTGACCCTTTTTTTTTTAATTTTTTTTTTTTTTTTTAACTTTTATTTCTCCTCCCTAAAGGAAAAGGAGAAA